TTATTTTAAAACTTTATTATTAAATAAAAATATTTTATTATATTTAATAGTGATTCATTTTAGAAAAAAGGCAAGTTTTAATTTCAGGGGGAAGCATGACTGTCTGGTGTTTGGAAGAGACCCATGAGCCAAGGGAGCACTCTCCTCCTGCTCCAGCCCTCCCACAGACTCGCTGTAATGCCTTTACAGCACATTTGACTTGCCCTGACAACTGACCTGCATTAGAGAAGTGCTTAGAGATCTTCAAATGAAGAAATGTTCATAACTAAAAAGCATTTACTGTAATGAAGCCCCTTTAAAGAGGCTCTGCATGCTGCAGCTGATCTCTAGTGTAAATGTAATTGCGCTGAATGTTGTGAGTGTATTTTCATTTCTCTTCTGCATACGTTCAGTATAATCTTCTGAATAAAACAAACATCTGTGCACAATTATGGAGGTGGAATTTTATACTAGTTGGAGTGGACGACCTTCAGTTTTTGGTTTTGCCTAGGAGTCTTGCAAAACATAAACAAAGTTATGACCCAGCCTCACACTTTGACCTTTTAAAATTTACTCTTAAAAATAGAGGTTATCTTTTATGCTGCAAATTATGCCTTTATCTCTTATAATCCCATAAGTCAGATATCACAGTCCCACTTCAATTATGCTAAACTCTTATGTTAATTTTAAATCATGTAACTTAATTCCTGGCAAAGCAGGCTGGTGATTTTCAAAATGTGGTTAATGAGGCAAAGTACAATCTAGATTCTGCTACTGAGATCATCTTAATCCCTTAGGTCGCTGAAGATGACTATGGAGAGGCTCTTCTTTACAAAAGTCTGGGTTAGATTTTAAAAAAAATGAATTTTAAGTGCAGTTAGGGGCTATGAAATATGAATTTGAGCACACAAAGAAGTTAAATTACTTTCACTAGAGCCATAGAACAACAGTGCAGCTGAAATAATTACGCTCCTGTGCACATACATGCTTTAAAGGCCTTAACTAGTGTCCTCCCCTTTTAAATCACAAATGCAAACTGTACCAGATTTTCAAGATGATGATCTGGGGACCTGATGTCCATGTCCATGGATGCATGCAAATCAATGTCATTTTCCCGCTCATTTGCAGAAGCCAAACATTTGCTAAAAATTTCTTTCACCCTCCTCCTTGACTCAAACAACAGCTTTATCTAAGATCAGTTAGTAGAAATCCTATGAGACTGTACAGCCTTTTCAATGCAATTACACCACCTCCCCAAATCTCTGTCATTCCCTGAGCAGATTGGCTGAAAGTTCTCCACTAAAGCAAGCTCAAGGTGAAGCTTAGTTCTTCAGAGACTTTGTAATTTACTAATATTTATTTATCTGAATAAAAGTATTCATACAAAACTCATATGCAAATTGCTGTCCATTCTTTATTAGCATGCAGAACTATATTCCTCATATGTTTGCCATATTTTTTGGGGGTCTGCAAATTAACAATTAATTAACACATATCCACAACAGACAAGACAAAGCAAATATATGGATATCCAAAGGGTGGTGAAATTCTATTTTTTATTTAACATCTTCAATGGTCTCCCTAGAAGGCAAGAGAGATTTGTTCAGGATTTGAGATTACAAGAGCAGAGGATCTAGAGAATTGTGTTGCATCTGTGGGAAACATGATTTTTACACCAATGTCAAATCCAAGGCAATTTTCGTATGAGTTAGAAGGTTGGATGGCACAACATCAAAACTGTGAGGAGCTGCTATTTAATGTCTTAATGCACAGTCCCACTTGAGAGTCATGAAAGTGCATGGCCAAGTAAATTAAAAAATAAATCCAGCTGGATAAAGACACATAGAAACCCAATAACAGTCATTAACTGGCATGGTGCCCAACACTGGAGTGGCAGTGAACTGGTGTCCAGCATGACACCATGGCTGCAAGGAACCACCTCTCCAGCATGGTGCCCTGGAGGGCTGAGCAGTCATTTGTGGAGTGGCTGTGCTCCCCATGGTGGCCAGGCAGAGCATGCAGTTCTGGCACTGTGGGATGGACCCCACAGGAAAATCAGGAGGGATTTTTGCCAGGGATGGTGGGGGTCAAACACTGTTTAAAGGGGGAGATTTAGGGACACATTGTTCACCTGAGAAGAAGAATGCATAGGGGCAGTTCAATTGTTGGATATCCCCTCCTGAGCACTCCTGGTGTTAACACCCGTGGGTCTATCCAGGCACAGCCACAGCTGACATAAGCAACAGTGTGTGTGTTTACCTATCCAAGGCATCCTTGCAACTTCTCACCAGTGCTGAACACCTGCACTTCCCCACACCTCATGGTGATGATGACTTTTGCCTTCTCTTTGCTCCATGGCCCCAGGGAACAGCCTGGTTTCAGCTACGGGTGCTGCTAGTCACAAATAGCACCACCTCTGACTTGGGCTACCCAGTATGCTTTTGTCTTTCCCCCCCTTGGAGTGGCTTTTTAAAGATGTGCTGTGCCCACTCGATTCTGCACTGGCACCATGTGGAGGTGGTTTTTTTCCTCTTCTGAGGAGAAAACTGAGAGAGAAACAAGCAGCAAGGGTACATAAGAAATAGTCTCTTCTTTCAGCAGGGACCCATGATTACTCCTATGGAAGAACTGAAGCCATACATTTGCCTGAGATGAGGGAAAAGACAGCAATGATAGCTCTGGTCGCCCACTCGATTCTGCACTGGCACCATGTGGAGGTGGTTTTTTTCCTCTTCTGAGGAGAAAACTGAGAGAGAAACAAGCAGCAAGGGTACATAAGAAATAGTCTCTTCTTTCAGCAGGGACCCATGATTACTCCTATGGAAGAACTGAAGCCATACATTTGCCTGAGATGAGGGAAAAGACAGCAATGATAGCTCTGGTCATGACAGAGAACAGAGGAAAAGGACAATTTTACTCGCATCACTTTCCTGCCAGGCTGTTTCCTTATTCTACAACTTCCTGTATCAAGACACTGGACTAAGATGCCCCAAACCATCCCAGAAAGTAAAGAATAGGTGACATCTTTATTTCAGAAAGGCACAGAGATTTTTCCTTATCCATTTTAGGGACATGGTCTAGTGGTGAACTTGGCAATTTTAGGTTAATGGTTGGACTTGATGATCTTAGAGGGTTTTTTTCAATCTAAATAATTCCATGATTCTATTATTTTGCAGAGATTTCTCCTCCTCTGGGACACATCCTGGCCAAGCCATCCTGAAATGCAGGTTGCAGAACAACTGCATGTATTGGTCACTCAGCACTTGAGGGAGAAAAGGGAAGGTATCTTTTCCTTTCGTAAACAGGACTGTGAGACTCTGGACACATCTGCCTTTAGGACAAATCACCAATACCCATCCCACCACATAAAACTGCAGCACCCACCTCACTCCTGGGCTTTGCTGGCTGCTGACAAGGGAGGCAGGACATCAAAACACAAGTGACTTCGGGAAGCTCTGGGGACAAAACCATGGGTTTGGGAGGCAATGAGCATACACACCTTCTGTGTGACAAATTCCTGGGAGCTGGGATGATGACTGGACAGACCCTCAGACCAAGAATGGTCACAGCAGTTGTAATGAAGCTGCTTCTCAGTTCAGCTATGTCCCATAGCTAAAACTTTGCCCTATCACCAAAGATGAAGACTACCTTGAATATTGGGACCACTGTATGCATGCATCATGCGTAATGATGCATCCACAGTAAACTGAAATCTTCATTATAATAAATGTGGCAGCTCTCTGAAAGGAGGGTCATGTTTGTCAACTCCAGTGCATCGATTGAAAGGTAGTGGACTGGCACTTCATAAGTTTACCCAAACTTACTCTGCTCACCAGTTGAGCTGCTGTGTTGCTTGTAGTTTGATGCATTTGTATTCAAGAGCATCCGTCAATGAAAAATAATTGGGTCTAGAAACATCTACAGTCTAATGCTAATCAAACAACCAAGTCTTGCAACTGAGAATGCCACAAACATTTTAGAAAATTAGCCAATGCTTCTTTATTAATAAGCGACAGAAAGTAAAAATACATTCAAAAATTGTTTCAAAAACAATTTCTAAAGCAGACACACAAAAAGAATCATGCTACTCTAATCTTTTTTTCTTAAACCATTAAAAGAACATTAGGTAAGATAATGCAACAGCTGGCTGAGCTACTGCTTCCATAGTACAATCCATAATGATAAAAGCAGCTTTTTTTCTGGCATTTTAGTGCAATTTATGCTGTTTATAGGTCTTTTTTTGCTGTGCATTCTCCTATAATTTAATGCCAATTGATATCACCCTAGCTTATAAAATCTCCAATAAGTCAAGACAACTCCACTTAGCAGTCACTTTGTTTCCTTTCAGGGTTAATATCAAAGTACTTGTTTTGAATCCCAAAACGATAAATATCTAATAGAAGCCTGAAGCTATTCTGGTGTTATACAACTGGTGATGTATAATTGAACATTAAGTAATCCGAGTAATAGAAGTCGTAGGTCAGCTGTCTCTCCTTCTTAGACAATTCCTTTAAGTATTGCCTCACTACTTCTGCACTTGTTCTCTCATCAGAGGAATGTCTGTCTTTGAATTTAGGAAACTTCAGATCGGCTGGGGCACCTACCAGCTGCAAAAAGTAGTTAGCATCTTCTTCCAGGGTTTCAAACTTTCCAATAAAATCATAGTTGATGAGGCAGGGAAAGCAGAGCTTAGTGACTTGCTCCCAATGAATGTCCATTCCAACAGGTCGATGGGAATCTAACAGATACTGGATAAACTCCTTGAACTTCACTCCTGATCCTGTTTTCAATGCCTCTTCATCTGCATTATGTCTGTATTTCCTAATTATTGCTTTCCCAAATACTGGATGGTAATAGCTGTTTGGATGTTCAAACTTATCCCTGAAGGCAGATACCAGTCTTTCCATAGGGTCACGTACAAATATAAACTTGGTGTACGTGTCCAAGCGTGTGTATATCCCTTTTAGATCATAGCTGTCCAATTTCCTTAGATGCTTTCCATAGTGCACATCATCATGGGAAATGTTGTGTGCTGAAGTAGCAAGTCCATTGAGCACCATGAGGACCCTTTTCCAGTTGGAGCAGCCTGCTTTCGGCACTTCACAGTACAGGACCTTGTGCCTGTCCTCCACATAAATTCTTGACACCAGGTGCACCAGGTGGGTTTGCAGCTTCTTTATGCCGTTGTACTTCTTACAGAAGTCATGCAGGAAGGACCTGCGCTTTTCCTGGGTGCTGCCTATGTCCTTCCACTTGCCGCCCTTGACCAATGTCTTGTTTAAAGAGTGCAGTGCGGGAGGTAGATACACTCCTCTGAACCAGCTGAGAGGTGACTCGCTCGTCTTCTGCTGGTCAGGCAGTTGGCTCACCAAGGAGGCAGCTACGACACCAAAAGGGTCAGCCTTGCTCTGCCAGTGCCTGCTGCTTGAGACAGTTATCTCACGTTTACTGAGGCCTGGAGAAGCGCTTCTGCTCCTTGGCATCCCTGGAGGTTGGAGTGTGAAAGCCTGCAAACATGGAAAGGAGCAGAGCTTAGAGTGCAGTGACAGCCCAGCCCAGCCCATTCACATTGCAACAGCAGCAAGGATGGTGGGGTGTGCTCATGGGCAAGCCACATCTGGTACTACAAAGTCTCTTTTGAACCACCCGATCAATACACCTAATTTAGGAACAAGACAGGCTAATTACTGAAATACATGCTTCTGAAGCTTACCTGTTAGCACATGGTAGGTCTTCCTACAAAAATAATTGGCTCAAGTCACAGCTTTTAATAAATTAGATATGGTTCACACAGGGAGGCTGATAGTCCTGGTGGAGGTGGCCAGGTGCTTTTCTCCACTGAACACATTTTCCCCCATGACAGCACTGTTTGAGTTGCATGGCCATTCTCTGGAGTGCACTGGCACAATCATACTAACAGCTGCTGGATCTACTCCCACCATCATGACTTGGAGCAGGCCTTGTCCCCCAGTAGTGGTAGGGGACAAACCTAGGGCTCCTAAATAGCTGACATCAATGGGTTTGAGCAGGGTGTAGTGACAGATGAAATCCTCCCTCCAAAAAGGTCCTGCTCCTACCTGTCCTACAGATAGATAATGAAAGTGGGATGCATTGAACTGCATGCACATATAGGTGTCTTCGACACAGACACTTGCACCTGATGGTCTGACAACTGATGAAAAATAGATGCCGTTAGAGCCTATTCCATCTGACTTAAACATCAACATTAATGACATCAACTAACTAAACATCAACTAGTGACTCTGCAAAGAATGTGAAAAGATGAGACTTTTCTCCCAGACACCTCTTTTAACGTTCCCAGCCACCATGCAATCCACAAGCTACAAGAACAGCAAAGCTGGCACCTGTGTTTTGCCAGCAAATACTTCAGGGTCTTGTATCATGCAAGTTGACTGAGGAGTTTCTTGCAGTTTGGCTATTTCTGCTCTTTCATTCCCAAGAGGATTCCTGTGTGTCTACCAAGGCTTGTAGAATTTTCTCTTCCATCACTAGGCAAGCCTGCTGCATTGGGACACCTAAACAGCTGCTTATTTTCATCATGCATCTGGAGAGGGAGGATGCTGGTCAACAAGATTTTAAACATCCTGTTGCAAATATGGTTAGATGGACAGACATGCACAGTCTGCCTGATTCCTTTCATAAGTCTAACTTTTTTTGAAATCTACATAAAAAGGCTCTTCTGCCATAAACTGATTAAACATTTACTGGAAAGTTGATTTGTGGACTGGCAGACCATAAGTGTGGATTTGGGGGGATGGGAAAGTTCATAGGCCAAATCAAATAAGGCTGTTAAAAATTCAGAGGAATAATGTAAGAAAGGGTGATACATGGAACATAATTTGGATTCCAGTTTGAAATAAAGCCTATGAAAAAACAACCAGTTCCAAGGAAAGTTAGCCTATGTTGTAGTGTAATAATTTCCAATGGTAAAAACAAACTCAGGGAATCAGGTTTTTCTGCCCTGCTGCAAGCCACTGACATGCAGTTCTTTTTTTTGTTCACCAAACTGCATAAAATTATTTTTGTACTGGTGAAAGCAAATAAAAGAAGAGAGCCATGCAGGACCTGTATGTCTGTGAGAGGAGCATGTTGGTATTTTTAGAGATGCAAAAGGATATTTGAATTAATTTGGTTTGATGTGTTCAGCTTTTCTAATATATATATTAATTTCTGTCTAGTATCTTGTTATTTAAAACAAATGAAACACGTGTCTACAGATTTATCCCTTCTGCCCTAGGACAGAAAGAATTCAGGAGATTGGTTTGTGTGTAGCAACAAAAGTCAGTACTAGCAGTAAACCAGGGTATGACTATGAGCGTAATGGGAATTTCAGCATCACAGTGAATGGTGAAGTGCCATTCTTACAAGTGCTACTGCAGAACCACAGACTTACAAATCAATTTAATGTTTTGACCTTAAAAGGAAAACCTGGAACTTAAAAAGGTGAAATGAGCACACAATACAAGGCTCAACAGAAGTAGGAATACAATGCAAACATTATATATAACAATGAAAAAGTAACCAAAGACTGTAAATTCATTGGTGTGGCTCTGTGGAATTTGAAAATTTAGATGACCGTCTCCACTGATACTTGACTGTAGTGGTGTTCCCCAAGCAGAGAAAACTCAAGAGGGGCAGCAGTACCTCATGACTTTCTGTTGTATGTCATCTGAATTTGGCAGTCTATTTCAGGACATATTTCAGTGCAAAGACACTTAAATCATCTGAATTTCAAACTGAAGCCTCTAAAATGAGCCCTACACTTCAGAGGAAAGTTCAGTCTTCTGAATTCTGCCTGCCATCCTGAAGTAGTGAAAGATGCCCTAGTTCCACCATGACAAGAGGGAAAAGGACAGACTGAAAGGTGTGTGGTCTTCGTTTTTCTCCATTTCAAACAGTCTGCCTGGGATCCAGGACCAACCTCATGGGATAACCCAAGGAGGTACCAGAGGAAGATTGCACTTCAGTTGCAGAAAATGTCAATGCAGCTGTAGGAATCTCTACTAAAATTTTTTTCATGGGATTCATTTCAGAGAAGGATGAGCAGAACTGTTCAGAGAAATCTCAGGTAACACCCTGAAGGAACAACATATGCTCAGTGGGAGTCACTTGAAAGAAGCTCCCTCCTAGTGAGATGAGGCAAAAGAAGAAAGAATCTATTAGGACAAAAAAGCCCCAAACAGAAAGAAAAAGGAAAAAAAATCTAGGGGAAAAAAATGACATGGGAAGTTCTGAGGACCAAAGATTATCTCAATATGTAAAATACTATTAGTTGCTTCCCCTTTCTACTTCCCCTTCTCTTTGAGACACATAATGAATACAACACTATGGCTAATAAATGTTTTTATAGGCTCCACAAGGGATAGCATCCTTGCAGTAAATGCTGGCTGTAACTTGCTCCATTTAAGAATGGGAATGGATAGTGATATTTTCCAAAGGCATAAATGGCTGGTACATTGCCATGGAAGTTTTCCAACTCAGAAAAAATGAAAAGAAAAAGAAAAGAAAAGAAAAAAGAGATCAAACCTTCCTAGATGCTTGTCTGAGTAACTAGGTTAGTACCTCATAAAAGTGAGATGAATGAAGAGATGAATCAAGCTTTATTTTTGATGAGAAATGTTTAACTAGAAAGCTCTCTTAGGAAACTAACAGAAATTGTTTAATAGATAATGTCATATTCCTTAAGCAAAAATACCTGACAGTCTGACATATTTAGCTGCTACCACTCTCATGTGCATGAAAGAACTGAAAGCCACACACTCTGAAAGGACTTTAATGTTTTATGACACTAGTCTTACACAAAGTGAGATGCCTTCTTTGACTTCCTGTTGATGCCAGTGACTTTTCAATGCCCATTTTCTGAACCCTTTAAAGACCTGAACATCTACATGTTTTGTTGATTTTAATTTATTTTTTCACAGTGAGGACAGGAAAGCAAGAAACTTGCAAAAGCAATAAACTTTTTAAAACATCATTGTTCATTATACTTACACTATTAACAGTCCATCCCACAAGCTGCTGAGCACTGTTATTATGGAAAATGCCTGAACATACACCAACAACAGGCAGCACTCAGGTAATATCAGATACTAACTCTGGATCCAGATCTGCTCATGCAAACAGCCCTTACCAAACTCTTTGAGCCAAGTGTCCATGAACAGGGTTGTCCATTTATTTATTTATTCCCTAAGAGTTTGGAAAGAAAGTTTGGGAACCACCTGCCTGGCATGAGAGATGAACTCCACTGTTACCCTGGATAGATGCAAGGCTGTCCTTGAGACATGCTGACAACATATGCAGCAGGTTATGTACGTTGAATCTGAGAACTAAAACCCAGTGAAGTGTCGCACCCTTGCCAGTAATTATGCAGAGAACCCTGTCCTCTGTTTGCACTAATACATTTGAAAGGAAGTTAAGAAATGGCCATGAGTCCAATTTAGAAGAGTATGCACATTGCCTCTGTCTCACTTTAGCTAGGCAGGAACTGAAGACAGATTTAAAAATTAGTTTAAGTACAAGTTAAAAAGGAATTTAATAGAGTGTTAGTGTGATGTTTGGCTACTGGCAGGCAGCTTAGTGAAGCTGTTAAAACAAAAGGCATTTTTGAGTCATTAATCAATTGATGGGATTTTTTTTTTTTTTTTACATTTTTATTGCTGGAGAATCTCTACTCATCCCCATACACAAAAGAATTTCTCCTCACCGTAAAAATAAGTGGCAAATTTGTTCTTTTACACACACTGACACTGTCCTTTCCTTTGCTACCTTCAAAAGCCACTGGGGTAGAAGAGATTGACTGCCACCAAGAATGGTTAAGGCTCATCCAATTACACTTTGTAGTGATTTTACAATGCACGGGTGGGATCTCATCTAGACAGTTTGCAATTAGAGCAACTCACCATGCAAAAAGATAATGATGTATTGGAAAGGCTGATATTTCAGGGCTGATTTACAAAGATTTAATGGCCTGCAGTGCAGACAGTGCTGTGTTTCCTAAATGCTTTAGTGCTGGATATTCATTTTTACTAACAAGAATAATAAAATTAAGTGAGCCCAACATAAAATGTAGCACAAATAGTGGAGGAAAGAAATACTCTGTTTTCACATGCTTTTCTCTGCTGCAAAATAACTACACTGTAAGTATTAGTAATGTATGATTTGGTCCTCAACATCTAGCTACTATGTCTTCTCTCCTAAAAGACCCTCTAAGATGTTTCTTAGGAGCAACTGCATGAATCATCTGGGAAGCCTGCTGTGCTCTTCTTTTTACTGTGGCTTGAGCTTGACTGTTGCAGGTTTGAGTGCCCTGAGGACCCTCTCAGCACTATTGTACTAAATAGCTAATACGGGTGCTCTGCCAACACATGGATATTCAAAGATGATAAAAACTTTATTCTTTGAGACAAAACTTCTGAAAAACAATTATTTAGAAGGACAGAACATGTGTGCTTTTTGAGCAACCCAGACAGGGGTCTGGAATATTCACAGAAATGTAACCAGCTCACAGAAACTTAACCAGGAGAAAAAGCAAAGGTCCCCCAAGGAACCTTATTTGTTTACCTACGAAGTCTGTAGAAAACTGACAGAGAAAGGGTCTTTTGAGACAAGGTTCATTTTCTGATTCACTGTCTGATTCTATAATGATCAGGGAAGACACAGACATCAGACTATTAATTTAGGTTTTTAGCTGAAGAAAGTTTGAATACTGGAGGACTGTAAGACAAACATCCTTTCACTTGGATAGTAGATATGTGTGAATCTTCAAAAACTTATAGTTTGTCTAAACCATAAAGTTTTTCACATAATGATTGGATGCGGCTCTGAGCAACCTGATCTCGTTCAAGATGTCCCTGCTCATTGCAGGGGGGGTTGGACTAGATGACCTTCGAAAGGTCCCTTCCAACTCAAGCTATTCTATGATTGTATGATAATTGGGCACAGTTGAAAGAATTTCTTCATCAGAGGTCCATGATTATGGTAGATGGCTCAGACATATTATGTAGTGTAAATATGAGGAAAAGTCTGTGTGATTCCTATCTTCAGAAAGCCAGTGAAGTCTGGAGCTGTACAAAAATGTAGAGCTGTAATTACACATGTATGTACAAGTTTTCTTAAGCCTGCCAAAAGGAGAGATTATCCTTAACTTTTTTTTGTGTGCTAGAAGAGTATTTGCAAAGCATAATTCAGAATGGCCAGGCTCCTCTAGTACTATGCTACCTGAGCTAACATGTAAACATGCTCATAACCCTGTCATATCATAGCAGCTGCTTAGTGTAATGTTGGTGAGCTAAACACATTGCTACAGGATCTCCCAATGGAGACCCTATCCAGGCTGGTCACAAGTGACAGAAAATATTTGCTTATGAGGTGCTTCACCTTCTGTGCAATGGAGATAAACCCCTTGATTCATCATTTGTGCTTAAAACAGCTACTCCAGAGACAGGCACCACTAACCCCTCACCTCCGAGCGGAGTCATGAATTTTTGGCTTATCTAATCTATTCAGTGCATATCACCAATGGTACACTCCTCACAAGTCAGAGCTGACACATGTATTCCTTGTGATCACTGCAAGTTTCGCAGAAGCACTTCTGTCAGAGATACCTTGTGGCTCATACACAATTCCATTATGGAAGAGGAAGAATGAAACAATGTTGCTTTGGACTTTTATTGCAACCCAGGCCCACAGGCAATGGGGAAAGTAAAGAGGCCCAATGGGGTAAGATAAAAAGTAACATTACCATGATTATAGTAGTAGTCCCATCCCCATTTAATAAGGGGACAGGAGAAGCCCATTTGCCTTTGGCTGAGACCCTCACAGACACTCCTGGCTTTGCACAGGGCTCCCCTCCTCTCCCTGCCCTGTCTTCATCTACAGAAAGCACAAAGTCATCTATGCTAATGATGCAAGACAGCCTGCACGAGCCACTTCCACAAGCTGATTCACATGGTCAACAACTTTGATGAAGGAAATTAATCTCTAATTTTACTTGCCAATTCTTGTTCAAATCTGGAATTAACTCCCTGCTGTTTCCACCTTCACAGTCAAAGCATTTAGTTTCTCCAAAACATGGTCAGAATGGGAACAGTAAGAAAGATCAAGGCATGGTTATAGAAAAAGTACATAAAGACATCAAAAACTAAGTAACATGTAAGTCTGCATGGCAGATTAAAGATTCACCAAGATAACTGCAACTATGTATTGAAAATAAAAACAAGCACTCCTCTCCCTTATTACTAATGAAGAAATAATTGTCAAGATTGATTGATGGTAACAATAAATTGGTTTCAGGACAGTGCAATGCTGATGCTGCTTCTCTTGCTTTCTGACAAAGGTTTTATGGTGCTGGTTCTTTGCACTATAACTTACAGACTTGTAAATAAACACAGAGCCACCACAGCCCAGATAGCTTGTGTTTGGACAGAGTCTGCAGCCAGTTTGCATGGAATGCATGTCTCTAGATATGTAGCTAGGATGCACTGGTAATAAAAGGCAGATGCACTGTTAATAAAAGGCAATTTTCAAATCATTGACCTCTTAACACTTGGCCATATTTATGCCAAGCTCCTTCCTATGCAGGAACCTTTGTTTTGGGTGCAGGTAAACTGGCATATTCAAACAGTGTTTAATTCTGAGCTCAGTCTTCCTCTGCGTTAATAAAACCTAAGCCAGCCACTGTAGTCAGTGGCCAGAAATCTTCATCAACACTCACTCATAGTTCTATACAGAACAATCTCACAGCAAAATGGCTTAAACAACCTGAAATTCAAAATGGACTCAGGCTAAGCATGCAATACTCATTTTATGACGCATAAGACTAGTGGTTTACATATGTGTACAGGGAGTTTAAATCTCAACGTTACACATTCAGGTAATCTCTGTATATTACCTATTGGGACACTTATTTGAGTTTATTAAATAATGTTAATGTGCCTACTTTTCCATAACTAAAAAGTACAGAAGCAAGTGCTTGGGCAGAGGAAAAAATGCACTTGGACTTCCTTATTTCAGGAAATCACTGACTTAGTTTTCACAGATATCCCAACACCATGTTAGAGGACCACCCAGCATACCTGTAATTTATATGGTTCAATCTGTCAGCTTTCCTGGCACGATGGCCCTTTCTGGGTTCCACCACACTGAGATAAGAAGTGCCTGGGTTGGATCAGTCCTGACAACACTGGGGCACACCTGTACTCACAGAAGAACACACCTGCAAGGCTCAGCTGCTTCCTCTGGGAAGTGATAATGAAGCAGAGGACGTCACAGATCCGGATTTGAGGTGAATTTAGGCACTTTGGTTTTTTTCCCAACCTGCCCCCCTGAACTACAATGAAGATATAGCTACTTAAATAGTGGCTTAGATGTTTGTGCTGATCAGCCAAATGTGAAGCCTGGATGCCCATTAAGACATCTGGAATAAAAATGAGGCAAAACCCCGTGTGTTATGTGGGGAACCAATATGAATCTAAGTCCAACAGGTTTTGAGTTAGATATCAAATCCTTTCCTCAATTGCTGCAAACATCAAGTTACAAACAAGCTGTTCAACAAAATGTTCTTACAAGCAATGACACAAGTGGTAGCCTAGTTTTGGAGGAATTTCAATCATGTTTCCCCATCCCATCTCTCCTTGACCAGCACTGTTCCTGCCTGTACCCAGCTGGCAACAGTGGGCAATGTGGTGGCTTACCACCTGAATTCATGTCCTTTCCTGAAATGTATCCAGAGCTGACAAGCCAATGACTGCCTTTTCCCCATCAAGGACAGAATTTTCCCTCTGACCACCCACCACACCTCACATCACTGAGCCCTTCTCTAACAGATGTTGAAGTTGGCTAAAATTGTCCCTGGTTTCATAACAGAGAGACGGTCTGGCAGCATGACTGGACAGGTATCCCTAAAGCACCCTGGGCATTTACAACCCAAAGGATGAAATGTAAAAGCAAAGATGATAAACAACTGTACTCCTTCCTCACAAAACCCCCCACCCTCTTTGAGAAGAGAGGCCTGAAATGTAATGCTGTGCTTCTGCACACATGGCAGAACGTTTCACATCAGTGGCTGTGGTACGATTCACAGGGACTTTTCTCCTGGTAAACAGAATCCATTTCTATCTTGTCTGCAGGTAAACACACTTATCTTCCAGCATAAATGAGACATCTTGCTCTTTTAGAAAGAGTAAGAAAAGTTTCAAATTAAAGTAGGTTCAGATGAAGAATATTAATGTATATTCAGGCATGAAGAATTCAATTTCTCCCAAATTGCTTTGGAAGAGACAGTAAGATCTCTAGAGGTCTCAAAGCATTTTCCCTTTAATCACAATTAGCATTTATTTAGATTAGATGACTATATTGGTGAATAGAAAAGAAATGAAAATGTATGATGCACTCTAGGTTGTCAAATATCTCAAATATACATTTGCCTACATTTGTACACTTTAAAATAAGTTCATGTGTTCATTTTTAGATAAAAATTTTAATACTTAAGAATTGATTGCATTCAAAAATTACTGTGGGAAAAATAGGCTGTGAATTGTCAAAAATTGATAAATTGACAAAATCCATTGCACACTCTATCCTCACACTGACTGCTAGGTAACATACCCTGTTTTCACTGAATGGGGCTGTCATGTTTATCCTAGGTAAAGGAAACTACCCTAGTTTATTCTGTAGCCGTTTTTTGTATAGCTTTCCACTTGGTAGGCATTAATCTGCAAGCAGTGCCACAGATGACCAGTGTGCCACCCAGACACTAACTAGTTCAAGCACCATCACTCCTTGAAGCAGAGGAATAATGAGAAAAGACAGCACTGTGGTTAAGGGTAGGCACACTGGCCAGAACCACAGTGTTTGGTTTTATAACTCTGAGCAAGTCCCTTGACCTTCACACTTCA